GGCGATAAAGTAGTCCGCGGTGACTAAAGTGTTACTTTGCGCCCTCAGATCCGGGCGATAAAGTGCTGCTTCATGCCCGGTCGTGCATAAACACTATCACATTCGCGACACTGGAACTTATTAACTTCTGATTTCTCCATCGGAGTTAAATTATAAACAGGGGCAGAAAAATCGGACAAACATGGAGATATCTAATCCTGCAATGTCGGGAGTCTCCGAGATTGTCACGGAAGGGTCAGTTGGAATGACTACTGAGATGGAAATGGATATGGATACGGATGCGGGATTCCAAAGAGTGGAGAACCAAGGACAAAAAGAAAAAATAGGAAGAACCGAAGAAAAAAAACATATCCAACGGAGATTGTTAGAGAGAAGGAAAAAATGCCAAGAGCAGGATGGAAAACACCACCTCCAGTTGAAGAGGAGATTGTGGTGGTAAAATCAAATCAAGAAGACAAGACACCAGCGATAAGAATAGTGAGTGAACGACTTCAAAGCGAGGGATGTGCCAGCTATGTAGAAGATGTCACACGTAATCGATCCGGGGTCGTTGTACTGAAAGGTACTACGATGGAGGGGCGCCAAAGGATTATGGAAGCAGCAGAATAAATGTTAAGGAGGGATCACGATCTGATCCTCATATCCTGCTCACTGGTGTTGAGAAGGGATATGGGGATCAGGAATTGATCGTACTCCTGCTCGAACAAAATCCTGAACTAAGGGAGGGGATAACGAACCAGAGTGAAAGTGGAATGACAGTCAAGAAACGGAAAGAATGTACTCAACAAATGGAAAGAGGATATAATTATGGAAGTGAATGCAGGTACATTTAGGAAGTTCATGAAAATGGGTGTGGTTAGCTTGGACCTGATGGGAATTCACGTTGAAGAGCATAACAGTGTTGCTGTGTGCTATAAGTGCTGTCATTTTGGGCACACAGCAAAGGTGTGTGAGCAGAAACCGGCATGCAATAAATGTGGAGGACTGCATGAGGGGAGAGAATGTAGGGGCGATCGGGGACTCAGCTGCGTTAACTGCAGAAGTGTCGAAGTGGAGCTGCAGCGGAGGAGAACGAACTACGTTCCGGGTCCTTCAAATTAACGTGGGAAAAGGAAAAGAGGCGCCGCAGTAGTGTGCATACAAGAGCCGTGGGGGAGAGAACCGGCACGGGAGGGATAGAGCAAGTATGATGGGGGGGGGGGGGAAGATCCAAAGTACGTTCTTGGATTCGCTCCTCCGTTGACAGCCTGACCCTAAGGAATGAATGCAAGGAGAATGAATGGGATCGGGATAATTATAGGAAATGAAAAAAACAGTCTGAAAATAATGAACGTTTATGACGAACCGGGTGAAAGGAGAAATGCAAGGATGGATGAAATATGTAAGCTCTTTGATGAATGGGAAGGAAGGAAGATTTTGGTTGGAGACGTGAATGCTAAGAATTTTGCCTGGGGTGGCAACATTACGGATGAGAGGACAGAGTACATTCTGGATTGGGTAAGCGAAAGAGGCGACCAAATCGAAAATGGCTGTGAGAGTCCGGCAACCTTCTCCAGTAACAGAGGGGAAAGCTGGGTCGACTTCACCATTAGTGGAAGTGTGCAGGTTGATGATTGGAAAGTGTGTATGGAGGAAACCCTGAGTGACCACCGTACGATTAACTTTTATCTTATGGGGCTACCGAAGATGAGGAAAGTCATGATGACGAATGTCAGAAAAGCCAACTGGTCTGAGATTGAGCGATACGTATTGACTTTCAGACCAGGGAGGCTAGAGACGAGTGAGGAGGTCGAAAGGGAGGCTGAGAAGCTTCAAGAGAGACTGACGGAAGCATGCATGAGATGTATACTTAAGAATGAAAAGACGATCGTCCCGGAGAAAGAATGGTGGAACGTGGAGTTCCACCTTCTCAGGAGACTGAGAAGAGAGGCACAAGGCACAAGGGACGAGGAAATAAGGAGATGAAGAATGAATGAATACAGGAGAGAAAGGAATAGGTATAAAAGAATGGTAGGGAATGCCAAAATTGAGTGGAGGGAGAGAGTCGAGCGGATCCAGGAGGAAAATGGGGTCGAGTCTACAGACTCCTCAGCGATGACAGGGCCAGAGAAATACCTTTTAATGTTATGAGAGATGATGGATCATATACAAGGGGGAAGGAAGAAACCAGCAGATTCCTGCTGAATAAGTACTTCCCCAAGGATGATCACTCGAGTGACACTCCGATCAGGCGTCGAATACGGGAGGAAGTAAGAGGGGAGTGGGGTGAGGAACAGCTGCCTTTTTCCGATGGGGAGCTGCGGACAGTGGCTGAGCAGCTTTTTGACGGTAAGGCGACTGGAATAGATGGATCCCCAACGAAGGGCGACTGAGTGGAATGGAGAAAGCATTCTGAGACTACTCAACGCCTGTCTGGAAAGAAGGTTTTTCTCTGCGGTATGGAAGCAAACAAAGGTTGTATGGGTACCAAAGAAGGACGGAAGCCCCAGGCCCATCAGTTTACTGACAGGTATGGGGCGGATGTTGGACAGGCTTCTTAATAGTTGAAATTCTCTCCAAACCAATATGTTTTTAGAGGAGGAATGGATACAGTAATGGCAGTAAAGAAAATGATGAAAAGGATTGAAGAAAACAAAATAGGAAGAAGACACAGTTTGGTTGTGGACCTGTCCTATGCCTTTAATACCGCGTGCGCACCGGTGATTGAAAAATGCATATATGAATGGGTATGCCGGAGAATGTAGGGAAGACGTGCATGAGTTTCATAGGGGAAAGAACAGTCACCTGTGGAGTGGTCTCTGATAACATAAACAGAGGCTGTCCACAGGGTTCAAGCCTGGGACCAACCCTTTGGCTGATTGTGATGGAAGTATGGTTTGAACGAATCAGAAGCATGAAAGAGAGACAAGGCATAGATACGATTGGGGTACAAGTACAGGCCTACGCGGTTGACCAGTTGGTTATCATCGATGGTAGCTCTGCAGACGATATCGAGAGGATATGGAATCTGGTCTGGAATGAATGTAAAGCATGGGGGATGAGATGTGGGTGGAATATAACGAAAGGAAAACAGAATGCATGTACATACAGGTCAAACGGTATGAAAGAATCCCGGCCATGAGAGAGAGATCGAGGTCAGAATGAATGTCAAATACCTGAGAATTGTGGTGGACTCTGGACTACTGTTCATTGACCACCACAAGAAGGTTAGAAAAAAGCTAAATACACTGGCAGGAAGAATGAGGAGATGCACCGGGAGGAATATTGGATTGAAGAGAGTGTGTGTCAGAATAATTTATGAAAGGGTAGCGAAACCTGCAGCTATGTATGGCGTGCAAGTGTGGGGAAGCAGAGTGCATGATAGTAGAGTCAGGAGACAGCTGTGCTCGGCTCAGAGGCCTTTTCTTATTGCCGCATGTGGGGCTTATAGGACGGCGTCGACAGCCGCGCTCAGTGTGATCACGGGTATAGCCCCACTTCATATAGAAGCTGGAGCTAGATACCATGAGTGGAGAATGAACGGGCAAAGGAAGATTGAAGACAGATTGAAAGGTATAAATAAGATACTTCCCTGGATGCAAGGGGGGTTACTGGAGGAGACGCAGGACGGAGGGATGACCGAGGTGTATGTGGATGCCGGAGCAAGGATGAACGAGGAAAGAATGGGTATTGGGTGGGCGTATGAAAGGAACGAGGGTGAATGGGCTCTAGGGAATGAGAGGATTCCCGAGCAGGGCAGTATGAAAGGAGCGGAACTGATTGCGATAGAGAGAGTGATGGAAATGTAGACCATGAATGAAAATGTTAGAGTGATTAGTGACTCCGCAATAGCGGTGGAAAAGATGGAAGTGGTACGGGTGAAGAATAAAAGGATGACTAGGATACAGAGAATGGTTGAAGCGAGGTATGAAAGGGGGCACGGACCGAAATCGTATGGCGAAGAGGTCACCAACATGACAATCCAGGCAATGAAAAGGCCCACAAGGAGGCCGCGAAAGGAATACGTAGGGATAATATCTCACGGAATGTAAAGAAAATGATCAGCAAGAGCGAAGAGAAAAAGAGGATAAAGGAATGGATTAAGGAAGGATGGCAGCAAGAATTGGATAACGGCATGACTGGGCGACTGCTCTACAGAGTCTGTAGAGCAGTCGGGTATGAGTCACTGGATCTGTCGCGGAAGGCAGTTCAGCTGTTCACGGGGCACGGTAACTTCACGGGATACCTGGCTAGGTTTAACCTGGCGCCGGAGGTGCCGTGCCCCTATGGATGGGGAGAGCCTGAAACAGCAAAACATGTGATAGAGAGATGCATGGACGGTCATAGAACTGGGTGGCGTGAATGGAAATAACGGCTGGAACAAGAAAAGGGAGGAATGCAGCTGAGAGATAGAAATGGTAGGAGAAATGAGTGGACACGGGTGGCGAATGAATGGGCAGAGAGTGTCGTGAGAGATGAGCGGGACAGGTGAGAGGCAAGCTACCAATGTTGTTGCTAAAGATGGAATGATGACGATCTTCCCAATCCAGGCAATCGTTGGACACACGCTATCTGATTTGTGAAACTCCGACAGCTACGGCAAAATGAATTGTTAAACAAAAAGAATAGAAATATTTGTATATATATGAATTATTATGATATGGTACTTCCTTTTGTAATGGAACAACTTGTAAATATTCATATATTATCTTACATAGAATTGTCTGGTCAAGTTTAATTTGTTAAATGGAAATATGTGAAAAAATGTAAATTATTTTGTGGTATTCAATAAAGTTATGGGTCTTCGACCCCCGTTGATTTGGATGGAATTTGGCAGTGGTGACGCTTGGATAGAGGGAATATGCCTAGTTGAAAGGCTTTCGAGCCAGGACAGCACAGGGCAATGGCATTATTCATGTATCAGAAAGTACGCAATCTATAAAGCATATGTTTCAAGTTTGAAGACGCTGCATTGTTTAATATTTCCTTGCAGCCATCAAAAGCGAAAGTTTTCTGTTAAAATGGAGACAATTGCTCATCGTTATGTAGTACATTACTTGGGTCTCGGCGCAACCAATATAAAAGCTGAACTGGATTCTACTCTGAGTGAGTCTACTCATTTGTTCACAACAGTAAAATATTGCGTTGCAAAGTTTGAACGAGGCCATACGAGCTATCAAGATGAGCATCGCAGTAGTGGACCAATTGAGGTAACGACTCCAGAAACGGTAAAGGAAATCCACAAAGCGGTACTTATATAATGATCGTCAACTGAAATTGCACGAGGTAGCAGGCTCAGTGGGCATTTCAACCCACAAAGGTTTATTGTGGCTCACACCTATTCACACTCGACCAAATAAACCCAGCTTCTTTCAGGTCAGATGGTAAGAGTACGGCTCTGCCGAACTGTTAAAACCTGATTCGGTCCCCAGCGGGGCAAGCACAAAGTATATGCTCTGCTGTTTCATCATTAATGAGCTAGTCGGATAGTTAAGGTGCTAGATTCCCACCTTGATACTCGAGACAACCTTCCCATATGAGGCTTTTTGCACATCAGCTACACCTGACGATGCTTCAGATTCAACCATGCAGGGCTTTTTCGCCTCTGGTTTTGGTGAATCATCACTTGAGCGCAAAGTTTGCTAACCTACTCATGGGGGGTTTGTTCCACCACTTCAGATAGATTCTGCGTACGCCGCTCAAGAATTGGGTGCAAGTCGGTTTCATAAGGTACCCCTGTCTTGAGGAGATGACTCAGTCATCTGGCTGCACCACTAAACCTTTTTTTCAGGTTCAGTTATTGGATCAGAAGTTGGAGAGTTGTGAAGCTCTCGCTTCCGATCTAAATTTACAAGAAGGTCAGTTGGAGTCGTGAGCACGACATCCATCTCCTCTGTAGACTCGCTCCTGATCTAAATTTACAGGGCAGTTGGAGTCGTAAGCTCTGCATCCATCTCCGATGTAGGGGATAATGTAACCAGCAGGGTCCATCGCACAAAGACCAGCCAGGGGAGTAGTTGTTTTCTGATAAGTGTCAGTCCATTATCAATCAGTGTAGGGAGTTGAGGCTGGCCTGTACGAATTGTTCCTTCAGATGATTTCATTCATAGCCAGTCTTCAAGAATTTCCACTGACTAGATGTGAAATGTTTTTTTTATTATTATTATTCGACAATTACGCAATTAATCAACAGGATACATATTAGAAATAATCATAAGTATGCCACCATGAATGATGATGATTTTTTTAAATGGATATAGGAATGGAATTGAATGAATTTAATGGACTGAAAACAATCCCTTATTGCGAAGAATTATGCAGTGTGCAGGTAAACATAAATAGCTTGGTACTAAAATCATTTATCGGTATTTTCATAGGTCAACACTACTCTATAATTGGGTATCCATTCCAGTAAATTCAACTATACTGATATATATATATATATAT